CAGGAAGTTAACCCTATTAGACAGCGTGAAGATACCTCTAACAAGAGCTATTCTAACTTTAGGAAGTGTTGCATGGTGAAAGATATTACCATTATGAAATAATATTTGTGTGTGAGGTGAGCATAATTACTAACATTGGCTGAAATCAAACATGTACTTTGCTTTATTTTTTAATCAAAAATAAATTTTTTTTTATGCAATTGTTAGGCTAATAAACACAGCAATGTGCCCAGATGTGAGCATGCAGGAATCTAAACAAAATGCTTTCTACAGAGGTATGTAACATCTTCAAGAAATTTTATTAGTGTACTTGGAAACTATACTGAAAAATGAAAATATATTTAATTTCTATAATAAAAATATATCAAATTTTAATCCAAATCAATTCATGTTTTATAAATGTTTCTATTTATGTAGGCATTTTATGTGAGTTCGCAGTGAAAAGGGGGAGAGAGTAAATGTTTGAAAGCATTTGGGGTCTGTCTTCCCTTGCTTTGTTCCTATTTACCTGTATTACAGCTTCAGCAAAGGCTTTCTCTTCTGCAGATGTCCAGATCTTTGGGTTTTCTCTTATCTGTTTGTGATTTACCCTATATGTTGGATTCCCATTACTGTTCATGACACACTGATAGATATATTACATACCTACTTTAAGCTCCATGTATTTATTGTAAAAAAAGAAAAACCTAAGGAAGAAATCTCACTTGCCTTTAGGATGGGGGAAGTACTGTAACCACCAGTGATCAGGTGAATGATAGCTAGAAATTTCAAGAAAATGCAGGCTACCCCACTTAAGGATTTAATTTGATGGGAATTTAGCCTGCCAGGTGGTTTCAGGATTGTGCACAACACGTACAATGCTCTACTGCAGTATGTCAATAATCCTTGCAGGGAGGGTACAGGAGAAATTCTGGGCAGCTGAGCATTTGCATCTCAAACCGCACAGGGAGCTGAGGGCACACTGCACATCACTGGAAGCGCGTCTTCCGTCTTTTTCTGCTTATTTCTTTTTATTTGACTTTTGCTGGGTGTAGCCATCACTGTTTTTTGTGTTAGTTTGCAGTTCCAACCTGGGAGTGGCAAAGGAAGCTCGTTGTCGGTTTCACTTTTTTTTTTAAATTACTGCTGAGGTTTGTTGTTCTGGTGTGAAAAATGCAAAAACTTGTAATTGTATTGATACTAAACCACTCACTGAAAATTAGGTTGTAGAGGATAGAGAGTTGATATAAAAAGAGAACATGCAGAGGAAATGAAAATTATATAAAAAGTTCTCAGTCACTCTCAGTGTTACAGATACATTCAGGTTTTTTGTGTTAATGTCGTTCTTACGGTATGTAACCATTCTTTTCACAATATGTGAAACGAAGAAGTTGTATAAGTCTTTATCAAACTGGGAATTTACTTTGCTTTATATATTTTCATAGGAAGCTGATCAAATGTGTTCATAAACAAAGGCATTTTTGGATAATACTATACCAATTATATCTGGATAAATTACATTTAAATGACAAATGACTATATACAATAATTATTACTTGCAAAAAGGTGTAAATCTCTCACATAGCTTTAATGAGGAAGTTAAAGGAAGAAGTGATTCCTTCTGTAGTCAGATGAGGGAGTGCTTCGAGCCCTTCAGCCCTGGTTTCTCAGTGCTGTTTTGTGTGTCTGGTTCCAATAGGAGACTTCTGTGCAGAGCTTTTTCTGTTCTTTCTTCTGCAGCTTTTGCAGACCCTGCTGTTTTTTCTCCTATATATAAGGCGTTTCTTATTTTTATCTGTGTATCATTAATATATTCTGTCTTTACATCTTCTGGTATAAGTACTGAGCTTATAAAACCTTAATCTACTGTTTTTCCTATGTGCCCAAATGCTGGGGGGAAAAAAGAAAAGAAAAGAGGGGAAAATGATGGTTTATACTACAGATTTGTGCCTGAAGTTTCCCACAGCATTCTATACAGAAAATGGAGTACCTCATATGTTTTTCTCTTCTCACATAATTTAAATAATTTCATTAGAGCTATTAACTGAAATACCAATTGACCTATTTTATTCTGATAAGCTTTTTGCCTTTATTATTTTATTAAGGTTTGAACAAGCTTTTATCAACAGCATGATCCACAGCATGGTAAAATCTGAGAGAACTTACTTTTGGATAGGACTGCAAGACCTTAACAACACAGGAGAATACTTTTGGCTAAGTACAGCAGGAAAGAATCGCTCCGTGAGCTACACAAACTGGAACAAGTACCAGCCACGTGAGTAACATGCCAATAACAAAATAAATGGCTTGAAGCCGGGACAAGGCGCTATCTTCCCCCTGCCACCAGTGGCATAGCAGTGACTGAAGCATCCTGGTCCTTCCTCCCTGCCTGGTCAAGAGAGCGGAGAGATAAGTGTGTATTTTCTGTTGACTCTGAAACTTCCTACCATGGATTGAGTTAGATGAGCTGGCAGTTATGGAGAAGCCAGAGCTTCCTTCCCTGCTTTCCACATGGGTGCCGTTATTGCAGGCTCCTTGGTTGTGGCAGGATGCTGGACGTCACTCTTCCCATTAATTAACATTTTCTCTAGCATCTCTCAGGAAGACAAAGTAACAGAAAAACTTATGAGCTGGAGAGTTGGACTTTTTAGCAGCAGGAAAAGACAGAATCAGGAAAAAAATGTACTTTCTTTTTCTATGAGGTGTTTTTCATGTATTTCTGTATGGCCTTTTCAAGGAGGCAATCAGGGCTCCTTGAGAGTCCCAGCAAAAGATCTCAGAGAAGTCAGGAATTCTATTCAGTAACAGTCACAGTTTGTAATTTTGTGTTTTATATGAAAAAAGAGGGGAGAGTTTCTCTGGGATACATTTCTGGCAATGCAAGCACCCCATGGAAGTTTTTTCTTCTTCCCCTTTAGTTTGTTAATGCTTGGTTTGCTTGTCTGATTTTGTTTTACATTAATCCAAAGGAAAACATTCCAAGAAAACAAAAACTAAAAAATAAAGTAGTTGTTCATCATTTGAAATGTAAACCTCTTAGCAAGACCTGAAAACAGAGATGTAAATATAAAGATACTCCATTTCACTAACTGCTTCTTCGGGTTTGGATACTTTACATTTATTGCTTTACTACTGCAGTTTGCGAAAGTACTGTTTTAAATTGCATTTCTTCTCCTGCGTTTTGTGAGAGGATTCCCTTCATCATGGTTAATTTACAAGCTCAAGTCAGCAAAGACGGGCTTATCAACTGGTGGCTGACCAGAGAATTTGCTACTTTTGTAAGTTCAATGAGGTTTTATCCAGAGCCTTATGACAATAAAACAGTCACTTCACCAAAAAGTCACAAAATTCAAATGCTTTATTCTGATACTCAACGCTTATTCCCATGTCTAGGTCATTCGGGAGGATGTGTGGCTATGCGAGGGCAGGACCCTGTTGGTTATTGGGAGGTGAAAAGCTGTAAGAACTTCAAAGCAATGTCATTGTGCAAGCAGAAAGTCAATTCTTATGACGAACCTGAACTTACTTTCCAAAAACATTTGAGTTCCTGCTATTCTGGATGGGAGTCGGAAGCTCATCTGCTCAGCTGCTACAAGGTATGTGACAACTTGCTTTGAAATTTTCTGGTTCTATATCAGCTTAGGGATACACTGTTCCTAAAATATTTTTGATAAAGCAGTATTTCTTTTACTCAACAAACAACTGTTACCATTCTTCACTGTGTTTTAAAGCGAGTGAAAGTTTAAAGACTTGGATCAGGAATATACATGGCTTTATTGTAGGAAAAACTGCAAATATTATTTTATTTTTTGTGGGTTTCCGAAACTACTGCTTTCCAAAATCAACTACATTTATGGCAGTGTTTATTTTATTGCAGATATTTCACAATGAGAAAGTTCTGATGAGAAGAACATGGGATGAAGCAGAAGCCTTATGCCAAGATTTTGGAGCACATCTTGCTAGTTTTAGCCATGTCTATGAAGAGACATTTTTAAACAATTTATTATATACAATTTTTGATAGGTAAATTTGTTTTTTTAACACCAACAAGATTTGTCTTAATCGTACTAATATGTAAAAATAATCTACAATTTAGGTTCTTCCATCCTCTTTACTAGTGGCTGAAGAAGTCTCTACTCTCGACTAACATGATCTTAGAAAAAGGTGAAAATCACTGTAATGTGATTCTTTTTGAAGATGATCTTTGTAGTAGATGTCAAGCAACTGTTAATGCCAAGGTGATATTCTTGTGAGTTAACATTCCCCATGGAGATGGAGGTTCAGCAATTTTAATCCTATTTTAAATGTTTTCATCTTTAAAAATATAATTTAACATTTTAGTAGGAAAATGAGACCTCACTTCAAGGATACTAAAAAGTTAAGAAATGTATTATAGAATGATATATTGAATTCAAGAAGAAATGAATATGGATATTTGCACTATTTAAAAAATAATTTCTGAAATAGCTAAGGAGAAAGTGTGTGAGAAATGTTATTTTCTTTGTTTCCATCATAGGACAGAAGAAAGACAGTTCTGGATTGGATTTAATAAAAGAAACATGCTTTCTGGAGAGACATGGCAGTGGTCTGACAGAACACCTGTAATTATCTGTATACTGTATATTTCAATACCCTTTCTAGTCATACCTGAGCATAAGTTCACAAAAAAAAAGCCTTGTGAGCAGCCGTTGGCCAAGAACACTTTTTGTTTTTCATGTCCACGTACTTCACTTAAAGTAGTTGTTACAATAGGATTAATAGTACATTACTGTTAAAATAGCAGCCTGTCCAAACGGGCTGTGAAACTGCGAAAGGAATTTGGTAGAATTATAAAGGTTTGCAGATGTGTGCTTTCCTGCAAAGCACGTTGTGTTTAACCCAGGACCAGGCATATGCAGAGTGAACACATAAGTACATATATACATTTAAAAAAAAAAAATATATATATATATACACACACATGGGAAAGCCTTAGGGCTGTGTTTACAAGCTTTATTTGTTCTATGACTGTCAGGTTCATTCCTGCATTGAGAGCTAAGTCTTTCCTTTTTTAATACCACTTCTCATTTTGCATCCTTAAAGATGTTGGTGCCACATGCCACAGTAATGGTTAGTACCTGGGATTTAAACATCGAATTGAAGAAGGGTGAGGTTTTAAACTGTAATTGGTTTTCAGCCTTAAAGAATGGTGCCAGCTCTGCCATTGTTATTTAAGTCATTTCAGAATACAAGTGCACAGTTTAATCATGCAACATGTTGAACCAAAGCAAAGGCTGTTAGGTGTTAGCAACCGCTGCTAATCATGTTAAAAATTGTTAGGTTTCATAGCTCTTCAAGTATTTTGACAAAGGAGGAGTCTGATATAAGATGGGAAAGTTGAAAAGAACATTGCGAGAACATGATTATGGACCCTATTTTTCAGACTTTACCACCATAATTTAGGTGATCCTCCAATTGTTGCTTATGATGTTCTTACTATATACGCATCTCCAAATCCTTCCTTTTTCTCCATAATGACATTTTGAAATGCTTCATCTTGGATTGTTGGTGAAAGGTAATGAATATGCTGTTTTCAGGTGGTATCTTCGTTTTTGGAGAGCAAATATGTTGCAGATGACTCAAGAAACTGTGGTGTGTTCAAAGTAAATAGAACAGTCTTTCCAGCACACTGCAATGAAAAGCGTGAATGGATATGCAAAATACCAAAAGGTGAAATTTTAATTAACATACATTATGTGTTATACCCATTACTTGTATTCAGGCGAGGCAAGGAAAAAAAGAACTCTAAAAGCCTGCTTTTTAGCCAGATCTGGAATTCTCCTCATTAGTCTTCTGCATGAAATCACAACAAAGCTATATGTGGCGATTAGGGTTTGTTGGCTGCTTAACACATCTAAAATGTGCAGTCAATTTAAAAATGGATGGCAATGGTTAGCAGTTAGTTTGCAGGAGTTAATAAAAGTTCTTATTCATAAAGGTCACTAAAAATTTTGTTTAATAAATGTGACAATTGTTTTATTTTATTCCATGTTTACTTCCTTTTTTTGTCCCTGAACAAGAATGTATCTCATGATTTTGATTAAATCCTTACCATGTGGAGACAGCAATTTCAGCGAAATTTCTCTTTTCATTCTTAATCAGCAGTGTTTTAATTTATGTGTGTATTTTTGCAGGTGTTAAACCGAACAATCCAGGCTGGTACATATCTGGTAAGAAAACATTTTATTTTTTTCATTTCTTGAAACATTATCATTTGGAAATATAATTTAAGCCATTGGTAAAAATAAAGTAACTAAAATGTTCTGAGTTAAAAATTTACATTAAGGAACTCTGTAGGAACTTGTTGCTATGGATCAAAATCTGTCACTCTTCTGTTCAGGAACACTGAAACATCCGATACAATTCCAGTTAGGTAAAGGGATGTTGCCAGTAATATGCACAGGAGTTTGATAACCTTTCCATCACACTAAAACTGCTTTTTTGCAAAGACTGGGCAACTTTTCTTAGTATTACTGCAGTATCACAGCATAGGATATTAAAAAAAAAAAAGACACATAATGCATTTTTTTTTTCATAATTTGTTATGTCAAATATTGTTCTGCTGTTAGGTGTGGTATATTTGTCACCTGGCTGGAAGCGGGCACATGGATGACAAAGAAGGAGACTTGAAATGAGTTTTTACCCCTGCACAGGCACTGACTCTTTTGCTTGTTTTCTAGAACTGCCATGGTCATATTATCAAGGAGCAGAATATCTTTTCCATATCAGTCCTGCCAACTGGGAAACCTATGAGTTTGTCTGTGCCTGGCTTCGCAGTGGAATGGCAACAATAAATTCTTCTGGTGAACAAGCGTTTATTCAAGATAAAATTAAGAAGGTAACAAAAACTACCCCTTTGAAAAAACAAACCCTCAGGCAGTAACTGGTTATTTTCTGTTTCATCTTTTGGCATACCTGTCTGCCTGTTGCTCCATGTAGAATCTGAAAGACAATTTATTTAATAAATAATTCTCTTGCTGTCTTCATTTCCCATATCGCTCCCTGAAGCCCTTCTTAGCTAAGGAAGTCAGTAACATTTCAGAATCTGCAGAATCCTCTCTGCTAATGAGTAGTCAGTCAGTCTGCCTCAAAAGACCTACAAGGAGCAAGAACTAGCTTCCTATCCCAAAGTTATGAAAGTAATTAGGTGTAAATAGAAAGGTTTGCTGTGTACATCCTTCTCTGTTTCTTCTTCCCCCACCCCTCCGTGACCAAGGGGACCTGTCGGGGTTCCTCAGGTGTTCGCAGAGCAGTACTGCATCCACCAGGATGTCTCCTGGTCCTGCACGGTTTTGCAGTTACACTCCGTTCCCAGTCAGTAACTTGCAGCTGCTTTTCAGGTAGCAATACTGAGGGATATTTCAGTGGGTATATTAGCATGAGGTGGGCAGTAAGTCCAGATGTTTGAGATGGTCTTCATAGTTTAAATCTTAAGTGTGATGATCAGAAAGGTTACTCTTGTAGAGAGCTGGCTAAGAATGAAGAATTACCAATTTCTCTGCACCTTATTTAAATCCAGAGCTCTAAACTATAAAGGTGGGTGCTTATTACCTTGCAAAATAAATTTCTTTTTCCTCTATGTACGCCAGCTGGGGCAACATTCCCATGTGTCCACACATTTGTGTGATATCTTCTGAATTAAACAGCTTTGTGACTACGGATATATGGAAAAAAAAAGACATCTGCTTCTAAATTCCCTCCTCTGAATAAAAGCAGAATTTATGTAGAACTGCTCTGATGTAACAAACATATTTGAAGCCAATAAATGGCTGCAGAAATAGATGAATTCTCAAGAAACAAAGTCTACTTTCTTTTAGGTGTTCTCAGTAAAAGTGAAATAAGAAATTAAATAAATAAAAAGAATAAAACTAGTCTGCCTGCTTTACTAAGGGTAAAATTGTATGGCTGTAATATAAAGGGATATCACAGCGTAATCTTTAAAAGAACAACTAGTGCTGAGTCTGGCCCAAGACTGCAGTCCTTTTTCAAACTAGATAGGCTGTAAATTCCTAATATCATAAATTCCTAATTTACAGGAGATAGATCAGCAATCCAGTGGAAACTGGCAGCTAAAGCATGCTCTACTTCAGCGAATAACCTTACCAAAGTGACAGAAATTAACACAGGATTTAGCACCTATTCTTCCCATTGGAACCCGATGGAGATGCTATTCCTCTGAATACAAACAGACCCTGATTTTAGGGGTTTATTAATGCTTTAATAAGAGGGCAAAACCACTTAAACATATGGCAAAACTTTTTTTGTTATAGCTATCAAATACTGATGTTCACTGGTGGATTGGATTGCATGCAGAAAACCTCAGCAATGAATTTCGGTAAGAATACCTTCACTGCAGTTTACAGGCTGTCATTCAGTCTGATGGACTAAAATTGTTTGATGACTGAGTGGGATATTCAAGAGACATAGAATCATAGAATAGTTTGAGTTGGAAGGGACCATGGCGGTCATCTAGTCCAACCCCCTGCAGTAAGCAGGGACATCTTCCTCTAGATCAGGTTGTCCAGAGCCCCATCCAACCTGGCCTTGAATGTTTCCAGGGACGGGGCATCTACCACCTCCCTGGGCAACCTGTTCCAGTGTTTCACCACCCTAAGCGTAAAATATTTCTTCCTTATATCTAGTCTAAACCTCTCCTCTTCTAGTTTGAAACCATTACCCCTTGTCCTATTGCTGCAGGCCCTGTTAAAAAGTTTATCCCCATCTTTCTTATAAGCCCCCTTTAGGTACTGAAAGGCTGCAATCAGGTCTCCTTGGAGTCTTCTCCAGGCTGAACAACCCCAACTCTCTCAGCCTCTCCTCACAGGGGAGGTGTTCCAGGCCTTTGATCATTTTCGTGGCCCTCCTCTGGAACAACTTCACTTCTCATGAAAATATCAGTCAGAATGTATTACCCCTGATTTTTCTCCATGTTACAGTATTTGTATAAATAGATACATATATATATAGATAGATAGATAGATAGGTATTAAAGATACAAGCCAAACACATGAATATCGACCTTGTGGTTGTCTGGTTTTTTTAAAGCTTGGTTAATAAAGGGGCATATTCTGCCCTATATCTGCTTACTAACACTTTTAATTGAGGTTGTATTTTTAGGTGAGGATAGGACAAAGTGTAACTACACTCTTAACATTTCTGTGCAGCTGGAGAGATAAATCACCAGTAACATACCAGAACTGGAATGAAGGGAGTGAGAGAGATCCGCAGAAATCGGGGAAAAGATGTGGCTTCATTTCATCACAAACAGGTATATTTTAAATTTCCTTTTGTTCCAGGAGTTGTGATTTGATTCTGTTGTTGGCCAAAGGGGTTATATTTTAATTGCTTTGCAGTCCATATTACATGGTCCTGTATTACATAGTCCTGTCACATGGTTATAATTTGCATAAATGCTTTTATGGTTAACAAAAGAATGTTAAAATACCGTTAATTAAAATACCTCAGAGAGTAGGCTATGGGATTTAATAGTTCCAGTACTCTAATATCAAAATAAAACATTCCGGTGATAATGAATCGTTAGTTTTACTTAAGAATCTGTTAAAGTGGCACAGCAAAAATGTTAATGTGTTGCTGATTTTCACAGTCAGTTTTCTCATAACCAGATGGGCCAGATGGACGAGCAATAGTTTTTCCTGCATTTATAAACTGTTTTTCTATCAGCACACAACTTTAAATTTTCAGGTTTCTAGCTTATTTTTGATCCCATGATAGCATGGTTTTGGTGATAGCCTTTACATCATCACATAGTTCTATATTTTGCTACAGTAATTAAAAAAAAAAAAAAAAGTGCTGCTGATTCTAGTGATTCTGTCATCTCACAGTTTCTCTCTTCTGAAGATCTGCAAGTCATAGTAAACTGTCAGGTTCCATGGAAAGAAAAAATATCCAGCTTTGTATTTGTGAGAAGGGCTGAAAAAAATTAATCCAGTTGCACTCTTGTAATCTCAGCCTCAAAAGCCAAAACTGAAAAAATGTAAAACCTTCTTTTTTTCCACACATAATCTCAGGTTTTGATTCATGACTCTAGAGTGCTTGACTTTGCCGTTATTATAGTTAGTATCGGCTAAAAGAAAGAGAAGCCTACCCTCCCTCCTCAGCTGCCAGCAGATGGGAGCTAATCAGCAACTTGCTGAGTGCGCTGTGTTCCACTGAAAAATGTATTTTCCTCCTAAGCAGGTCAGCATTTTATGCCAGTACCTGGATCTTGCCAAAATTTTTCAATGTAAGGAAGTCAAACTATTTTATCTGGAAGGCATCATTTCTATACCTTTCCTTTTTTTATTGTCTAACTAATTTTTTTTAAAAGACATAATGATATAAGCATATGTTATGTGACTCAGTGTACAGGAATTGGTTTAACATAATAAAATCAAACTGGGAATAGAAGTATGAGCTTCATGGACCATCAAATCCACTGTAATGCAATATGTCCAAATGTATTTGATGTAGAATCTCGTCTTACTCAACCACTAACGGGTACCCTCCTTAGCAATATCTAAGCTAGCTAAGGAAAAAACCCTTTCCAGTTCTTAAGCCAATATTGAACTGTGATTTTGTTTTTTATGCAGGACTCTGGGGTGATGAAAACTGTACTGTCTCTCTTCCCTGTATTTGTAAACGTAAAATTGCATGGAAAATAGAGAAAGAGATTCCAAAAGACCAAAACCAACAAGGAATGTGTCCCAAAGGCTGGCTGCACTTTGGATTGAAAGTAAAACTTTTTTGCTGTTTGATTATTCAAAATGCCTTCTGTATTTATGACAGAAATTGGATTCCTTAAGGATTATTCAATATTTGAATATTTTCTTCCTTTTTGAAAGCAGGGCCCTTAGGTTTATAAGGTTTACAGCTATTAAGTAGCTTTGCACACAGAAGTTGTCTTAATAAGGTACCAAAATTTTTACTTTAGTTCAAGGAAGTGGGTACATATATATGCAAAAGCTATCTAAGTGTATTTGTGGATTTGCTGTAAAAAGCATGCTCCATCCTCTCTTTTCCACTTAGGACAATTCAGAGATTCTTTTATGGTCTCAAAACAGTTCTCTGATGCCTTGTAATACTAAATGGATCCCTAGTTGCTGCCATGCTTCAAAAGTTGCTGTTTCAAATAGGGTTCATCAAAGATAATTATAAACCAGTCTATTTGCAATTGAAGGTCAAAAGGCAATTATTTCATTAGGCTTCTCTTAAATCCTTAATAGCAACATGGACAGAGGCGGCCAGATTTATCCCAGTGGTCAACTGCAGTGACTACAAGGATAAATTTAACCCAGATTGTTTTTGCCTTTAAACAACTGATTCGAATCGAAGCCTGATCGCAGCTGAAAACTGATACTAAATTAAATATTTAGTTTTCAGTAACAGCATGTGAAATGTTTTAGTGATCACTCTTAGTGTTTGATGTTTTTTCTCCAGTTTAAAAACTAACACAAGGCTTTTTTTTTCTTTTTTTCCTTTTTTTTTTTTTTTGAACAGTGCTTTTTGATACAAATTCCAAAGGATCCCGAGCATCTGAGAAACTGGTACTCTGCACAAGAGTTCTGCAGTAACTATGATGGGTCACTCGCTTCTCTTGAAGATGAACTGGAACAAGGTAGAGTACTGAAAATCCTGTTAAATAAAATATCATCTTCATTAGGGTGCTGTAGTAAAGTTTCATCTTGGATACAGACTTAGGAAAACAGATTGATCGGATGCTGCTCATGGTTCCACTGCTTTAAACGCATTAGATTTTCTCATTTCCAGTTTCCCAAAATGTAGAGATTCAGATATCCACTGAGCTATATGACAGTTATGTTTTGAAGAGTAATTATAATTTATTTTGTGCTTTCTACCATGCATTAGAAATACAAAAAAAATGGCATACCCATTTAAAAATTTGGTGTTTAAAATTTCCATCTTATGAATGCAACATCACGCTGTTATAAAAACAATCTCATTTTTATCCCTTAGTAGTAATAGTAATAGTAATAATAATATAATATAATA